TTGGCCGGCAGGGACGACCGGAGCCCCCAGCCTGACCTTGCCCAGCCTGAGCCAAATCCTGCTGTGGCAGATGGTGGCACCAGCAGCAGGACAGAGCCCTGTGCACAGCCGCCTCCAGGTGAGCAGCAGCACGTTCATACCAGCTGCCTCCTCCCAGGGTCTGGACTGTCCATCACCCACCACACACTTCTCTGCCCCAGCCCTTCCCACTCTGTCAGCAGCTCCATGCCCCCTACCTGAGTCCCCTAGGCTGGGGCTGAAGGCGTGGCCAAGGGTGAGACCCAGGGAGCGCCGCGGGGAGGAGGAGGCTGATGTGCTCATGATGTGGCCAGGAACAGAGCCCGGCACTGCCGAGGGCCCTGGAGCTACTTTGAGGCGGTCGTTCTCAGCCTTCAGGAGATCCACCTCCAGCTGGGGGAGAACCAGTACAGCCCAGGGTGAGGAGCTGGACACTGGCAGCACCTCGGGGCTGCAGCACAGCTCCCAGGGTACAGGGACTTTATCCACCAGGTCCTCAGAGCCAGCCAGGCTGCTGGCAGTGATCCTCACCTGCATGTTGTGCATGGTCTCCCGCAGCTGCTCCAGCTGGTGGGCCGAGTTGAGGGCCTCCAGGCGGATGTCTGTCAGCTTCATCTCCTTCTCCCACAGCTCTGACCGTAGCTCCGACACCTCCTTCTTCTCTGGTTCACCCTCGCTGTGGGTCTGGAAAAGCCTGGGCCAAGGGAGAGATTAAGCCTTGCAGATGTCCAGGGCAGGAGCCTGCAGCCCCCATGAGCAGTTGTCCCCACCCTGTGCCACCCGCCCTGGCTCCACGTACTCAGCCGTGTCGATGCCCACGGAGGAGGACGTGGAGGATTTGATGGAGGGCGAGGTGGTCTCCATGGAGCCGTGCTGCAGTTTGGGGGAGGAAGGGGCTGACGAGTCCGGCGTGGCAATCTCCTCGATGTCCGAGTAGGAGGAGGCTGATTTGGGTCCCTTCTTGATGCTGAAGGCCTTGTTGAAGGAGCTGCGTAGCTACAGGAGACAGAAATGCTCTTGTCAGAGACAGCCCAACAGTGTAGCCTTGCAGAGACCTGGACTGGTCCTGCCCTGGGACCTACATCTGCCCAGGACCCACAGTCTGAGCTGGCACCAGTAGCACCAAACCCACCCCCGAGGCAGGGCTGTGTCCTGCTCCTGCACTGGGGCAGCACTGGTCTGACCCTGCTCTGCTGGCACAGCCAGGACAGGCTGCGTGGACCTTTGTGCAACGCTCCAGCCCCAGCTCAGATGGCACCAAACAGCCCAACAGAGTGGGACCCACGTCCTGGTCACACTCCTCCCAGTCCTGTTCCTCCCCCAGCACCCACATCGTTCAGGCACCATAGGAATGTCCATCAGGAAGGGCTGACTCCATCCTCACATTCCCCCCACCACAGCCACCCCAGCAAGGACACTCCCCTCCCAGCCACCAGAGCTGAGGTCCTGGTGCAAGGGGACAAGTTCAGACCCACACTCCCCCTCTGCCCTGAGGGGTCCTCCTGGAAGCACAGAGATGTCACAGAGGCCCAGCCATGCATGCAGCATGCACACAGCACACAGAGCAGGGTGGATGGATGCTGGGCAGGGGCCAAACCAGGCTTGGGTCCCGCTCACCAGCCCACAACAGAGCAGCAGGAAAGGGACCCCAGGCTGACACCATGTCCCCTGGAGGGCCAGGGCCTGCTCCAAGGGGACATAGGAGGAAAAGGGAATGGAGAATGGGCAGGATGTGGCCCAACTCCCACAGGCATCAGACAGGCTAGTCTGGGGTGTCCCCAGAAGCAAAACCCTTGCACTGGAGTGTAAAAAAACCAGGTAGGTGCCAGGCTCCGGTGATGGCAGGAGAGGAGAAGAGCACTGGGACCTGCATGGGACCCAATAGGAACAGCCACTTGGGCCCACATCAGGCCAGCCCTGGCAATGCAGAAATGAGCAGCACCACACTCTGGGACCACAGGCACAGCTGCAGTGAGATCCCTGTCCCCAAAAGATCTGGTTACCAGGGAGGCGGGAGAGCACCTGCTGTCCCCAGGCAAGAAAGGGATTGTCCCTATCCATGGGACAGGTCCCCATCGGAGCCCTTCCTGCTGCCTCAGGGCAGTTCAGCCCCTCCACGTGGGTGCATCTTTTGGTCTTAGCATCAAAGGAAGGAGTCAAGATGTGCACACCCAGCTGGGGGCCCTGGGATGGCCCATGCGGGGGGGTTAGTGCTGGTGGGATGGATGGGATGGGTAGTGGTATGAGCAGTGTCCCACTAAATGGATCAGGGCCCTGGCTGGGCAGGGCATGGGGTGGAGGGGACAGTGTAGGACTTACCTCATACACCTGGAAAAAAAGGGTTGAGGTCAGCATAAAGGGAGAGAAACAAAACAAAGCAAGACTTAATCACGCGTCCAGCTCAGGCGGCCGGGCACAGGGAAGGGGCTGCCTGGCTGAGGGGTCTGCCCCACACTGCCAGAGCCTGCGTGGGCAGAACAGACACGTGGGGGAAAACGAGGGAGCAGGCGTGCAGGACCAGGGCTGGAGAACTCCCAGCGGGGCTGAAGAAGTCCCAGTCAACATGTCAAGACCCAAATCCATGGTGGCTGCACATTCCTCAGCAGTGCTGTCTCCAGGGGACAGAGGGGACCAACACCACAACACCAAGGTGGACCAAGAGCAGCTGGGGCTGACCCCCCCAGGACCCTGCCAGCAGCTCCCCAAGCCTCACTCCTGCCAGCACCCAGTCCAACCCACCCAGCTCTTCTTCTTCTTCTTCTTGGCGTCGGCGTCCTTGCTGCTACCGATGCTGGAATGGCTGGTGATGCTGTTGAGGCTGGAGATGCTGTCGGAGGAGTTCTGTCGCTTGATGCGCAGCTCTGGGGACAGACAGAGGAACGGGAGAGACCGGGAGAGAAGGGATCAGCAAACTGCATCTGCCCTCATGCCAGAGCCAGCTGCACTCTGCCCCCTGCACCCCTTCCCTTCTCCCGCCCAAACACCTTCTGAGCTCTTGGGGTCACCACGTGGGATGACGCAGGGCTCAGGCACCACATGGGCACTGCCTTTCAGGATGGTGACCCAAACCCCAGAGAGAAGCCCAGAGCACACAGGGTCCTGCTCCTGTCCCAGGCCACCTCCCTGCCAGCTCCCTGCACTCACACTGGGGTTTTGGGCTAGAAACAGCACTCGTGGGAACAAAGCCAAGATCAGCAGCTGGGTGACTGGAAAAGGGCCCAGTGAGGAGGCGACCTGGCAAGGATGACCATCCTGTCACCTCCCACATATCACCACTGAGACCTCCTCCAGCGACAGCTCTGGCTGTCCAACCCTGGCTTCAGATGCTCAGGGCTCTCAGGTGGGGAAAAGCTGCTTCTCAGGGGACCCTGCCTCCTGTCTGAACATCTCACTGGAGTGAGGGTGCCCTGGGACCCTGGGCCAGCCCTGGGCAGAAGCAGCCCAGCTGCGTTTGGGCCAGTAGCTCAGGAAGGGCTGCATCCCTGTGGTGGGGGGGCTGCAGCACCATGCCTACCTTTGGGGGTGACATCAGTGCCATTCAGGGCACCCTGGATCACAGCTTGGGCCTCCGAGTTCTTCTTCTTCAGGAAGTCGATGGTCTCTCGCAGGTCCAGCAGCTCCGTGTCCTGGGGGGCAGAGCCAGGACCCATAGGGTGTGTTCTGATGGCACAGGGCCCACCCTGAGAGCACCCAGTGCCACAGCAGATTCACCCCCAAGTCCCGCATCCCCCCAGCTCTGTGAGCTGCACCACCAGTGCTCCCCAACACCCACCCAGCACCTCAACACCCACCTTCTCCTCGGCAGTCTCGGCCAAGTGCCGCAGGCGGGATGTCATGCTCACCAGGCTCTGCTCAAAAGCTGCCACCAGGTTGGCCTGGGAGAGATGGAGAAAGGGGTGAGCACCCATGGCTGGGCCAGTACCCACGGCTGAGCCAGCACCTGGCCACCAGCTGTGGGGTGCAAGAGGCTGGGGAGGGGACATCAAGGCTGTTGTGGGGACAGGCCAGAACTAGCCCTGCACACAGCAGGGTGTCCTGCACGGGCTGCAGCTCCTGCAGGGACTCACGTTGGCAGACAGCTGGGAGGTCAGAGTGGCCACTTTCTCCTGCGAGGACTCCAGCTCGCGGCGCAGCTTGCGGATTTGCTGTGGGGAGAAAGCAGAGGGTGTTAGGTGGTCCAGGGGCTCAGGTGTGAGAGGGGGCCAGGGGCTTGGGTGAGAGGGGGGACAGGTGTTCCCCATCACTGCAGGGGCCGGGGCACGTGATGAGCAGAGAGCACGGGCTCACCTCAGACTGCATCTTTTCCTCAGCCTGGCAGTGCAAGAGCAGAGAGGGACAGACAGACAGACAGAGGCAGGTCAGGAGGGCAGCGAGGCACGGACAGGCTCAGCACGAGGCAGAGGCATGCACAGAGCCCCCCGCTCCCACCCGGGTCCCCCCAGCCATGCACGCAGCGGCGCGGAGGCGGCTCTTACGGAGGAGTAGGTGGAGGAGGCGCTGGAGGCCAAGGACAGCACGGATCCATGAACTGCAACAGAACAGAACCAGCTTGTCCGGGTGTCCCCAGCCACTGGTACCCCAGGGGCTGTGGGTGCAGGACACAGCAGGGTGCAGGGGATGGAGCTCCCAGGGAAGGGGGGTATGCAGGGGCTGGGGGAGACAGAGACAGCTGCTCAGCACTGCCTGTTTCTTGGCGTGTGGCTGGTGACCCCCGGGCACATGGCGTGCAGCAGGGCATGGGGAGCACCCTGCACCTGCATCCTGCGCTCTGGCTGAGCCCAGGGGCTCTGCCACCCAGCCTGGCTACTTGGGATCCTCTGCTCGGTGCCACAACACCCTGGGGCCAACACCATCTGACAGCAATGCAGCAGCACCAAAAAATCACAGAACCATACTATTGTTTTGGTTGGAAAAGATCTTTAAGATCATCAGGTCCAATCATTAACCCAGCACTGCCAAGGCCACCCCTAGCCCATGTCTCTCAGCACCACATCTACATGGCTTTGGGAAATCCCTCCAGGGATGTGGACTCCACCACTGCCCTGGGCAGCCCTGACAACCCTTGCCAGGAAGAAATTGCTCCCAAGATCCAAACTAAACCTCCCCTGGCACAACTTGAGGCTGTTTCCTCTTGTTCTACCCCTTGTTCCTTGGGAAAAGAGACCAACCCCTCCTCACTCCAACCTCCTCTCAAGCAGCTGCAGAGCCAGAAGGTCTCCCCTCAGCCTCCTTTGCTCCAGGCTGGACACCCCAAGCTCCCTCAGCTGCTCCTCATCAGACCTGTGCTCCACTGCCCTTCTCTGGACATGCTCCAGCCCCTCATTGTCCTTCCTGTCATCAGGGGCCCAAAACTGACGCCAGGATTTGAGGTGCAGCCTCATCAGAGAGGGACTATCCCTGCCCCAGTCCTACTGGCCACACCAGTACTGACAGCCGCCAGGAAGAGGAAGGGACAAGCATGCAGGGAGCCATGGAGTTCCCTTTCCCTGGGCAGGAGAGCTTCACTTTCTCACCATCATCCACAGGGTCCCGGAAGGAGCCTGAGCGGATCATGCCCTTGGGCTTGTCAGCCAGGGAGAGGGTGCTGCCCATCTGGGACGTGCTGTACAGCTCAAAGGTGGAGTCATGGGTGGGGATGCTGTTGGAGCGGGTGATCCGTGGGGTTGCAGCAGCAGTGGGACTCACTACAAGGAGAGGGCAGGGGAGAAGCAGGGTCAGTCATGAAGAGAACCTGGGATTGGGATGGGGAAACAGGGCTGGGAGCAACCCATGAGAGCTGGGATGCGGAGTGGAAGCAGGGATCACGGTCCCAATGCAGGGGGAGCTGGGGGAAAGCTAAACCACAGATTTACACTGGACACCAGCACCAAGGTAGCCATAGGCCTGAGAATCCAACCGTCGCCCCAGGACAATGTGGGCACCACCATGCCAGAGCCTGACACCTGCAGGTGCAGGAGGGGAGCTCCTCATCACCCGGTGTTCCCCACCAGCACCTCCAACCTGTCTGCCTGGATCCCCCAAACCCTCCAAGAACATGTAGATCGTGGCAAGAAACGGGGCAGGGCTCACCCCGTGCTTTGCTGGGCACCCCCAGAGGAGCCATGGGCAGAGCCCCGAGGCTGGATGAGGTGCCCTGAAGCAGAGGTGATGGATATCCCTGGGCACAACCCAGCACCTCAGCAGGCCTAGAGCACCAGGCACTGGGCACGAGGGGCTGGGCAGGAGAAAAGCAACACCCAGGGCAGCATCAGCAAGTGACTGAGGAGCAGGGGATGACAGGGGCAGGAGGAACAGGCCTGATGATGAGGCCTGATGGCAAGCAGAAGGTGCTGGTGTGGGGCGCACTGACCGATGCTGGTGAGTGGACCCTTCCCAACCAGTGCCATGGGGAGGGTGGGGGGCGAGGGCAGCTCCTGCTGGTCGTCCGCCTCGGGGAGCCCGCTGCTGATGGCGTGCGAGTGGCGCCGCTCCTTGGCCTCCTCCTGGGAGTGGAGCTGGTACCTGGGGAGCAGAGCAGAGAGCGGCATGGTGAGGTGGACCAGCACCAACCCAGCTCCTGCCCAGCACCATCAGCCCCCTGCAAGAAGCTCCACGTGCCCAACCCCCTCACCAGCACCATCCAAAAGTGATTTGGGCTCTTTTACCTCAGCCCTTTCTTGGGCAGCGTGTTCCTGTCGCGGTTGGCACTGGAAGGGAAGGAAATATCAGTAACATCCCTGCAGAGATCAGGGAAGTTGCCATGGGGGTTGAGCTGTGGGGACAGGGAGCTTTTCTCCAGAAATGTAGCAGGAAGAGCCTCCAAAGCAGGCAAAGGCCATGGCATGACAGCAGGGAGGGACTGCAGCCCACAGAGGTGCACCCAGCCCCACACCCTCCCTCCAGCCATACCTGTCCAGATGTGCAAGCCGGGGGCTCCCGCTCCAGCCCAGCTCCCCTGCCTCTTCCTCCTCCTCCTCTGTACCAGTGGGGGGTGCAGCAACAGGGGTGGGGGTGGTGGTGCTGCCCCCTGAAAAGGCACTGGGCAGGCTCATGGGCATTTGCAGGGACTCCATGCTGCGATGCAGGCCTGAGAGCTTGGAATACATCCTGCCCTCCTTGGGGACGCTGAAGCCACCCATGAGCTCCAGGCCCTGGGAGAAGCTGGCCGAGTTGATGTTGAGGATGGGGGCAGGACTGGGGCTGAAGCAGGGCGCGAGGTGCCCACCAGCCGGGTGCAGGTCCTGGAGCTTGGCTGTGTGGGGGGTGTGCAGCTCGCTGGAGGAGGGCAAGTCCAGGCTGTTGGAGTTGACCTTGTCCAAGTTGGCCAGTGAGGGAGGCTTCACATAGGTCTTCGCAGCTGCTCTGGAGGGGGATAAAACAGTAAGGAAGCAGGTGAGACTGGGGTGCTGGGCTTGGCCGAGCACTGGGCACGGCTGTGCCAGGCGCCCACTGCCCTGGGAGGTGGAAGGATCATACCTGAGAGGTGTGGGGGACAGTTCAGCCACCTTGGCCGCCGGCGGGAGGTTGGCCTGGGCTTTTGGGGTGCTCTCAGGTGAGCTGACGCTCTT